GGTCATGATATTTCACTATTTCAGATAACAACACCCACACATTTTTCTTCTACACCCTTCTCTCAAAATAAATAGATGTGATTGTTTCTATTTTTGTGGAGGGCTCACTCGGTCAGCATTACTCAAATCTAAAACAATCTGATGATTATGAACTTTTATTTTTAGCCTTTATAAAATGATGAGGTGATTACCATTTGAAAGTAAAGATAGCCAACATGTGACCCGGCTTTGTGTGTTTCTTCGCCCACTCCCAAGTTAAAAATTAGTTGTGATTCAGTTAAACGCCAACTCTGTCCAAAGTATTTTACTTTTATTATTAAAGTAAAAACAAATATGAAAGTTTTATATTGGTTTACTTTTATAAAAGTAAACAAAGTCTTATGTGTGGAGATGTAAATAAATAAATAATTAAGACTAGTGATTTTGTTTGTTTTTAAGAATTTATCTTCCAAAGAGTTAATTTTATACCATTTCTGAATGTGGGGTCTACGTTCCTGCTCACCCCAATAAACAAGCAAGTGTCTCTCTCTCTCTCTCTCTTTTCTTTCTCTCTCTCTCTCTCTCTCTTTTCTTTCTCTCTCTCTCTCTCTCTTTTCTTTCTCTCTCTCTCTCTCTTTTCTTTCTCTCTCTCTCTCTCTTTTCTTTCTCTCTCTCTCTCTCTCTTTTCTTTCTCTCTCTCTCTCTCTTTTCTTTCTCTCTCTCTCTCTTTTCTCTCTCTCTCTTCTTTTCTCTCTCTCTCTTCTTTCTCTCTCTCTCTCTTCTTTCTTACTCTCTCTCTCTTCTTTCTCTCTCTTCTTTCTCTCTCTCTCTCTTCTTTCTCTCTCTCTCTCTTCTCTCTCTCTCTCTCTCTCTCTCTCTTTCTCTTTCTTCTCTCTCTCTCTTCTCTTTTTCTCTCTTTTCTCTTCTTTGATTTCTTTTTTTTTCTCTCTCTCTCTCTCTTTTTTCTCCTTTTTCTCTTCTCTCCTCTTTTCTCTCTCTCTCTCTTAATTTTTCTCCTTTTAAATTCTCTCCTCTTTTTCTCTCTCTCTCTCTCTCTTCTTTTTCTCCTCTTTTCTCTTCTCTCCTCTTTTCTCTTTTTTAAATTCCTTGTAAGTACCTCAAATATCATCCACACTTAAGGAATCTGAATAACTCTGATTTTTGGTAATTTATGATTCTGAGCGGTGGAGTTGCTGCAAGACAAGCTAAACATACTTTGCTTTATAATTTCTTCAGGTGAATTAATATTTGCGATAAGTAAATTTACATTTTGGGCCGAATTAACAGAAAAGGTCCTTACTTTTTTTCATTAAAGAAATTAACAGTAAAGTACTAAAAAAAAAAAACTGTTTGGATTTTTTTTTTTTTTTTTTTTTTTGAATCCTTTTTCAATTTCTCCAAAGTGTTGAATTTTACACCCTCTTTTAATTTTGGTAAAAATTAAATTAAATGGTGTGTTCAACTTGAGATTTCTATCCAATACTTAAATTTCATAACACAAAAATGTGTCTAAGATGTCTAGTTTAAAATAGTGGTATTTTGACCCTCAATCTGCATTATAGTTTCATTTCTTAGGATCAAGTTTTAGATTTTTCTGAGCGGGTTAAGCAGATTAAAAAAGGCATTGACTGACTTTTAGTTCTTTATCCACATGCCCACTTACTGGAATGTGACACAAGGTTGAGTTTTGAGTGGGTTGGGAAGTCCATGCATATCTGGACAAAGGGAAAAAAAGTTGCTCAGCACTTCCCCTTTTTGTGGGGATGCTTTTTTGTAATTATCCTAGGCCCCTCCTAAGGGATAGGTATTTCCTGTGGGGGAGGGAAGTTGAACCTCATGTTCAATTTTTACATCCCACCCCAGCAATAGAGCACCAGGCATTTAAATATTTGTTTTACATTTTATCACAATTTGAGTATTCTGTTTGTTTAATGGTGTCAGAAAAAAAAAAGTTGCAGATTCAAAAAATAAAAAAACCCAGCAATGTTCTGTCATTATTTATGTTCATATCATTCGTGAATTCTTGGACATCAAAGATCTTCTTGCTTGATGGTGACATTTTTTTTCTTTTTGTTTTCAGGTGCTCTCGCTGCCACCAGCGGCTGACAAATTGGTACTTTGAAAAAGGGGGACAGTTGTTTTGTCGGCAGGATTACTGGACAATATATGGGGATGCTTGCCATGGATGCTCAGAACTGATTGCAGGCCCTGTCATGGTAAAGACTAAGACCATTCTCCATTCTCATTGTTTGTCATTTGAGTCTTTCTCCCCCCATCACTTTGAGTCACTGTCCGTCTTCTGACATTTTTTGACTCTCTCTTCATCGTCTGTTTGACCACTCTTCTCTTCATCGTCTGTTTTGACTCTCTCTCTCTCTCTCTCATCGTCTGTTTTGACTCTCTCTCTCTCTCTCTGTTTTGACTCTCTCTCTCTCATCGTCTGTTTTGACTCTCTCTCTCTCATCGTCTGTTTTGACTCTCTCTCTCATCGTCTGTTTTGACTCTCTCTCTCTCTCTCTCATCGTCTGTTTTTCTCTCTCTCATCGTCTCTCTCTCATCGTCTGTTTTGACTCTCTCTCTCTCGTCTTTTTGACTTCTCTCTCTCTCTCATCGTCTCTCTCTCTCTCGTCTTTTTTTTTGACTCTCTCTCTCATCGTCTGTTTTTTGACTCTCTCTCTCATCATCGTCTTTTGATCTCTCTCTCATCGTCTTTTTGACTTCTCTCTCTCTCTCGCTCTTTTTGACTCTCATCTCTCTCGTTTTTTTGACTCTCTCTCTCTCATCGTCTTTTTTGACTCTCTCTCTCTCTCATCGTCTTTTTTGACTCTCTCTCTCTCTCATCGTCTTTTTTGACTCTCTCTCTCTCTCATCGTCTTTTTTGACTCTCATTCATTTAAAAAAAATTGATCCATTGCAAATCACTGTCTTCTTTTCAGCCTATTTTTCTGCACAGAAATAATCCATTGCCCTTGATAATTGATTTAAATGTCATTGTCAAGAATTTAGTTAACGGCTTAATTAACTTGTAGTCTCTAGATTAAAATTCTTAACTTCATTATGCATGAAATGTTAATTTTATTTTTCAATTTTTAATTGTCTAAAATAACTAAATGACTTGGTGATAAACAAAAATTGCTGTTTTCGAATGGTAAGCCTTAAAACATAACTAATAAAATTTTGTTTAAGTAAAGCACCATTAGAAATCAACACATTGACCTGGCAATAAATTTGTTACATCAAAATAAAGACTAGGTTTTTAAGAAAATTGAGAAACTCCTAATATGCTTTTTATTTTTTTATTTTATTATTTCTCCCAAGCAAGGCAGGCAATAAAGCAAGGAGTTACTGAGTGAAAGAATACGGGAAAAAACATTAGAGATAGAACACTGAAGATAATGATTGACTTTTTATTTAAATTTTTGCAGATTGAAGTTGACCGAAAAGCAAGCCAAAAAAAAGTTTCTTGCTAACCATTTCACTGAACCCTTAGGGGATGACAGGGCTGATCTATCGGCTGAAAAGTTGAATGGTGAAGAAGACAACTGGGCCAATCTGATTCATCAGTCCAATAATACAAGCCTCGAGATTAGCTGGCTAGTCTTCATACCAGCCAATCAGATTGCTTCTTGCACATCTGGACCCTTGAATGGCAGCTTCTATGATAGTTTGCTGTGTTCTGTGATTTTTATATCAATTTTTTTTTTTTCTTTCTTATGGCTTCAAAGTGAGTGATTGTGAAAAGGGCTCCATTGTCTTGGCACTGAAACGCCAAATCAGACTCTGTTTCTAAAGGGTTAAACACAGTCCCTAAATCATACAGAATATAATAATGATTAAAAAAAAAAAAATGACCTAATCAGTTAGATAGTCAGTAAAAACAAATATATTCAAATTTATGTTAATTTGAAATTTCATCATAATATTCAATTAATTTCTTTTGAGTCTCTGAAATATCACAAACCCATTGACATTTTGTTTTTAAATTATTTCTTCCTGAAATTAATAGAAATGTTCTAATGGAAATAGAAGATAGTGAATTGAATGTGTATGGAAATCATTTTAGTATGGCTGTAAAACAAGACATAATTATCTCCACCAACGGCCATATCATATTGAAACACAAGTTCTCATATGATCACTGAAGTTGAGTGTGGTCAGTACTTAGAGGGATGACCACTTGGGGAAAACCAGATTATCTAAGCTTGGATGCAATAATGGCTAGCAGTTGAAAATCAGAGAGCAGAGTTCCAATTTCAGTTGGGTTTGTTATATTCACTTATGTACAAATATCCTTAGGAAAGGTATGAATCCACCTGTTCTCTCAACAGCTATGGATTAATTAATAGGACTTGTATCGGGAAATCCTTATCTTAAAAATATTCTTACAACCCAAAAATAATTTCCTGGCTTTAAATAACCTGCAAATGGTTGATAAACCATTAAAAATAAACCAATTGATCAATCCACTCTGTATTTACTATTTTCAAAAAGTAAGGACGAGGTTAGTGAATGTGCTAGTAGCGTCATGAATATAGACACAGAAAGTAGAATCAGAGCAGAGTTCAAATTCTGGTCTAGTCTGTTGCATTTATTTTTACATTAATCTATCTCTTCTTCCCCTAGCTATAGGTTAAATAGCAGAGGAGACTGAAAAGAAAACTCCAGATTCCAACAGGAAATCACTCCACTATCTGGCATTTCATAGATAATAAAGAAAATGAATCTCTGGAGAGTCAGGATTGCCTACATCAACCTTCACTATTTTCATAGGTTTTATGATGTCAATGAATACTCGTCGTCACTTTCGTAATGCTCAGGGTTGTGGAATTTTAAAGGAAAAAAAAAAGTTTGGCAAAAATTTATTGAGTACCTTTTCAGACTAAAAAAAGAAAATCTGTTAATTCTAGTGGCTTTGTGACGACTTCTGATCTGATTACGTAGAGAATATCTGTTTTTGCATATTTTTACCTTAATTTGTTGTCTTTTGCAGGTGGCAGGAGAACATCGGTACCACCCTGAATGTTTCCAGTGCTGTAGATGCTACAGCTACATCGGAGATGGAGAGGGATACGCCTTGGTGGAGCGGACCAAACTCTACTGGTTGGTATATTTTAGAGATATTACAGAGTGTACGTATGCAATGAAAATCGCTGTCTGATATAAGAAATACGCACTTGAATAAAACAATAAGAATCAGGGATTATATTCAGGCAGCAAAACTTTGGAACAGCATTTCTATATTTTAATTTTTCTCTTCCTGTAATGAATCTCTGAGAATTTTTTTTCATATTCTGATGAAAGTTTTGAGGAGAAAAGGTGAAATTGTGTGTTTTGGTTTGTTTTCTTTTCTCCAAGTAAAGGAAAGGATTCAAATTTAAACCTATCTCACTGGATCAGCCTTTGATATATCACCACCTGTAATTTATTTTATCTCTTCCTTGCTTTTAGTGAGCAAGTTTCTTGATTATTGACAGAATACAACGGCTGCTCTTATTTTTGTGGGGTGGATGGGTCCTAACATATTTTGTTTTTTTATTTTGAATATTTTGTTATATTTTATTTTCACTTGTGAGTTCATCTCCCCACACCTCATTTCATGTAATTAAATTTTTATATATTTTTATAAAAATAATAAAAAAAGGACATTTGTTATATCATGAAATGTCATGGGTGTTCTTGTAGGTTCTCTGTCAATATGATATTGTAGTATGTTGGCTTGAATGGTGATGTATGAGTTTATCTTGTGGTGAATGAGTAATTTGTAATGAATGAATGGTTCGTGAATCTGATTAGCTAGGTTTTATGATGTCAATGAATACTCGTTGTCACTTTCGTAATGCTCATTGTAGTAGAGCCTTTGTAATCACGAATACAACTATAGTATGCTGTTGAACAATGCTGGTGTTGGATGCCTTCGAATAATCTCGCTCTTATAATATTCACTCAAATAGTAATCTGTATAGAGAAATAGTATAGTGAATAGAGTAGAGAATAGTGGTCTGTATAATAATAGAGGATAGAAGTTCAGATCAGTTAGACGTTATGCAACTTCCTACTTATGCATTTCTCCCATGGTCACATGATCCACTTAATTCAATAATGGGATTGCCTGTGTTTGTTCACTGGTGATCTGTGTTCAAACTCAAGTGTCAGCAGTAACGCTCATGCCACAATTGTTATTTATTTAACAATAAATCAACATTCCCCATACAATATTGGAACCAACATAATGTTATCCACCCCAGTTTACGATAGACTTTCGAGAAAAATACCTGAATATCTGTCACTTTGACAATTTTGCTATTCCTCTTCATAAAATGACTAGAAAGAATGATATACAGAAATGTGTTAACATCACTTTAAAAAAATCATATTTGAATATTAAAAGAAATTGTATTAAATTAGAGAAATGAAAAAAACGCCTTCTTTTACATTTCAGTGCTTACTGCTACAACAACGTGATGAAGCCAAAGTTCACCGAGATGCCAGAAAACAGGAAGCCGCATTCCATCCAGTTAGTGGAAATCCCAGCCACCCCAGACAAGGGGAGCCGTGGGGTGCATTTAACAGTAGAGAAATCTGCTTACACTCCATTCCACAGGGGAGCATCCCATCTCATCCGTATTGCTGGGTAAGAGAGATAACTTTGACCAAATCTGCAAAGAAATATTTACGGAACTTTAGTTTTCTTTTATGCAGCTATTGTCTCTCTTTATATATCTCTCATATATATATATATATATATATATACAGTTTTTTCTCTACGTTGCGCTCTATTTTTCAGCAGCCCTGTCATATTTATTATGCTAATATGAAATAAATATTCCTTTTTCCTTAGAAAAAAAATAACTCTGTCTTAACTAATCTTTGAATAAAAATATTTTTAAGCTTGTTCATTTTGGTTTCACAAGAAATATTTCAACTATATAAAATGTTTGTTGTTTTTAAAAAAAAAAATGGTTGAAAATGTTTCACAATTTATGGATGGGCTTAAAAAATTTCAATGAAATGTTATCTTTCTTTCTAGCAGTTTGTCAATTCTCATAATCAAAAATCCTTGTGTTTGTAATCATCATTGTTTTTCTAGTAGGTGCTGGCTTGGTGCTATTAATTTTTTTTTTTTTTTTTTTTTTTTTTTTTTTTTAGTCTTGACAGTAACCCTGCACTCAATTCCTTAAATGTCGGTGACAAGATCCTGGAAGTAAATGGCACAGCAGTAAAAGAAAAATCTTTTGAGGAGGTGAGAATAAAACCATTGTTGAATCTAGTCTTTCATTTTTGACTTTTCAATCCTTTCATTATCTGCAGCCATTTTATCCACCCCCACCACCACTACAGTTAAATTTTTACCACTTTCCACATCCCTTTATTCCCACCCACTCCCTAAAGATACCAAGAGTTTTTCTAATTTCATTCTGTACTGTCTGGGGATTTCTTTCTATACTGACAGTCTCCAAACTATAAAGAAAAAGATTATTGTTAATTATATATAATAATCTTAAAATATCTGAATATTTAGCTGAAGTGTTCTTATTATACAGGGTGTAACAGCAAAATTGTCCAGTTAGATTTAGCTTTGAACCATTGTAGCTTAGAAATGATTAAAGGTATCTTATTGGAATTTTCTGAGGTTTTTATAAAACTATTGGTCTCTACTTAGAGCTAAATAGATTCTTATTGTTCAATGTTGAAATGATGATCCCTCTTCCTGTTGTGACCTCCTGATCCAGTTTTCCTCTCTACTGTTCCCTCTTTTTTAAACTTGTTCTCTTGATCATTCTTGAATGGACTTTGAAGATGGAAGCCAGAATATGAATGTTGGTACCATTACTGAAAGCCAGAATGATCTTTTTCCTCTTACCATTGCTCAGCTGGAAAGATGTAGTGGGGCTGACACAAGAAGATTTTAACCTGTTCTTTTTCTAGCTGAATAGCTCAAAGGGTTTTTCAGTGATTCTTACAACAAATGGTGTCAAGATGGCTAAACATCTTATCTGAAAACCTGGAAAAAAGAAACTCGATTAATTCAGGGTTTTTTTGGTTTTTTTTTTGTTTTTTTTTTGATATTAAACATTTTGTAGGATGATAGGATGACAATTATCCCATGCTGTTACATAATTTGGACAATTTTTCTGTTAACCTGGAAAACCTCCAAAATGGGACAGTAAACATTTAATACCAGAATATTTTATTTTATTTTTAAATTAATTATAATTAATACTGGATTTTTAATTTTTTTTTAATAAATGAGTGCCAAATATTCATGTTTGACATTTTTTATAAATTTATGAATAAAGAATTTTTCATATTTATTTCATTATAAATTGATAATTGCTAAACATTACATTGTATTAGTTGGTTTGCATTTTTAGAATGTTGTAAATATAAAATTCTTTTAAGAATACGATCTAATAAATAATTTGTGTTAAATATCTTAGTTGTAAATTCAAACAAAGAAAATATATAAATTCACTTTCATATGTTTGGATTTTAAGATTCTAATCACTTTTTAAAACGGTGAACATTGCCAAGGGAGTGAAGGTAGTAAAAAATAATAGCAGTGTCAAGGCAAAAACTGTTCTTTTTGACACACTGTTTTTTGTGGGCATGAAAATTAAAGATTGCTAAAATATGATCATTGTATATCTTTGATTAGTTTTTCTTATTACAACATTCAGGTTTTTGCAGCTTACAAAAAGTTTTTGATGCTTAAAACAAAAAAATAAGCATATATTCATGAATACATCTGGTTCTGCAGTTGCAAAACATTTGATAAAGATTTAAGAAATTCAAACATTAAAGTACAATATTTTGCTTTCTGTTAAAATATCTTCCTACCTTTTCTTTAGATTGATTCATTGATGAAAAATACAAATGAAGCTATCCAGTTGACTGTGGAGACGGATGCAAGTCCAGTTGTTGGCAATTCTCCGTCCAAGGAGGCCAGTGGAAGTGTCTCCAGTCCTGAACCAAGCTCCCCCACAGAGATTGACGTGGATGGCGTGCGTGTACCGCTTAGACGGAAGTCTTTGTTAAAAGCAAGGAAGTAAGTTTCTTAAGTGTGTACTTTGTTTTCACTTGCATTTGTACAAACATTTTTTTTTTTTTTTTTTTTGGTCTTCCTTTAAAATTCAAATTAGTATCCAGGGTGTTTAGTGTTTTCTTCCTGTATATTAAAAATAGAAATATTTGCACTTGTATTTCAAATATAAATCTCTCCATTTCATTTATATACTCTTTTCTTTTTGTCATCCCTCCCACCTAAGCCAGGTATAAAGCCACTACAATGCAATGGGGTTACTGAGTGTGAAAGAATGAGTAAAAAGAAAAACATTATTAAGGAAAGAGAACAGGAATTAAAAAGATGTATTGCATAAATTTGTGAAGATCAAAGTTGACTTGAAAGCAAGTAGCTAGGAGAGTTGTGAGAGAGAATCTGTTAGTATAGAATTTAAGGTTACATTTACCAACTATCTAGTACTGCACTTAAATTCATGAATTTTAGGTACCTAAATGTATAGCCAAGAGTGCTTGGATAAAAAGAACAATTGGACAGTTTTTGTATAATTTATCATCCAAAAAGGAAAAAAATTATTAGATCATATGAGAAATTGTATAAGAAAAAAAACTAAATCAAAACACCTTGTCTGTCATATTCAATGAAATGTGCATGAAAGAATGATTGCTGCCTAAATACACAAATATATATATAAAATTGTGTGTGTGTGTAGGCAGACAGTTGCATCAGTATGCCAAGTTCCTCTTCCAGCTTGTTGCATAAATACCATTGGTAAAATCATGTATGAGTTTATTCTCCCCTACCAGTTAATATGGGTTAAACAATAGGTCAGCTTACTCTCTGGCCTTCACAGGCAACCAGCCTAAGGAAGGCTGCTTGGAGTTTTTTTTATAGCCTACTATACACTGTTTCTCTGTTATCGGTTCTTCCAATAATTATGGGCTTATGCCCATATCACATTGAAACATTGCTTCTCATATGATCACCAAAAGTAAGCAATGTCAAGCCTTGTCAGTACTTTGATGGGAATAACAGGTGCTGTAAGCTTGGATGTATCGTTGGTGTAATGGATAACAGTTCAGAATTGGAAATTGAAGAACTGAGTTCCAATTCCAGTTAGGTTCATTATATTCACTTACACCCAAATATCCTTGGAAAAGTTATGAATCCACATCTTCTTCCAGCTATGGGTTAATCAGTAGGATTTGTATTAGTAAATCATTATTATCTCAAAATATTTCTTGCAATGTAAAAATATTTTCTGATTTAAATAACCTGCTAAAGGTTGATAAACTGTTAAAAAAACAAAAAAAAGAAAACAAATAAATCTAAGTGTGTCTGGTTCTACACAAGTCTTCACCACTATAATCAAATATGTAACAAGTCTAGCAGTTTAGTTCTTTAAAAAAAAAACCCTGAATTGTTTGGCCCTTATGTCAAAATCAGGAAAGTATCCTCTATATCTATATGTGGATCAATAATTTTGTAGCCTGACACAGGTTCAAGCTGAATTTAATGTTCAATCTGATTATTTGGTATGTATAGAATTTAAGTGCTAAAAAATAGTTGTATAGAATAAATGATTTTTCATTGTCATGAATTGATTTTTACTTGTTAATTATTAATAAAATAACAAATTCAATCCTTTGTTAGATTGTTTGGACAATTGAACTCTCTCTGAGTTGCTTCAAATTACCACAATGTTTTTGACTAATCCTTTTCCATATGGAAGGAAGTGGTCATTATCATTGCAAGAGTTGTTCAGACTATTAAACTCATTCTTTGTGTTGCTTTTGTTGTTACCACAATGTTTCAGTCAATCCATTCTACGTCTACCTTCTTTAATTTTGAGAAGAGACATTATCATTCCAAGAGTTCTTCACTCATTGTGTTGCTTTTGTTACCACAATGTTTTACCCAATCCACTTTATGTCTACCTTCTGTAATTTTAAGTCAAAGTTGTTTTCATACTATTGAACACTTGTCACTTATGCCTCTATATTTTGGATGAGAAGTTGTCATCATAAAATGTGTTGAATATATGAAATCTATTATAAAATCTTTCCTAATAAAAATCAGGAAACTCTTTTTCTAGTGTTGGGGAAGGAATTTTCTGTTTTGTTGATTTGGCAATTTTTTTTTTTTTTTTTCTAATTTCTTAACCAATCATTTCTTTTTGTTTTTTTTCTTCCAACCTCCTTGTAAATGTTGTGCATGGTTGTCTTTCCCTGTAACTTTTGAAACACATTTTAGTTACAGTCCCTCAAAGCGGAGAAGCAAGTCTCCATCGCCAGCTCCTCCTACCAGACAGAAGACCCTAGAATTGACAAGGGCCCATTCCTTCCGCTCACAACCACAGTCACACAGAGTATTCCGCTCCAGTGACTTACAACCAGGAGAAGTGTTGGGGAAAGGATTCTATGGTCAAGCTATTAAGGTGAGACAATCTTTGCTTTCTTTCAAGGTTGCAGATGGTTTTCTCTTGAGATCTTTATTTTTTTTCTTTTTCTTTTGAGATCTTTTTCTTTTTTCTCTCGAGATCTTTTTCTTTTTTTTTTTTTTTTCTCTCGAGATCTTTTACTGTTGTTTTTAGGTTTTCATTTATGTACAATGATTTAACAGATTATAAGAGCTGAAGGTGGTCCGTAAATGCAGAAAGTCAATTAAATATTAGTCTGACAAAAGGCTTCCTTTCAGTATTAATTTCTTTTGTTTTTGCCATTTATAATGCTTTTCTTCCCAATTTAATTAAAAACTGGAAGAAGATTTAAAACTGTTTTTATTTTTTTTTCTACATTTACAAAAAAGAAAAAAAATTTAGTATACAGTGCTATATAATTTAAAATTATTACATTAAAATAAAGGGTATGTAATATTTACTCACTTTTTAGGCAGTTTTTTTTTCTATGGCTTCTTTTTCTCATTTTGGCAATGAGAACACAGCTGGAATCTATCATTAATCCTTTCATTAACTGCAGTTGTCCTAGACTGGTTGCCACCAAAGGCTGGAGAGCCCAGTGTGCCCTACTATTTAAGTCATGTCTTCATACCTTTCTCAAGGGTATTTGGACAAAAGTGAATGTAATGAAACTTAATCAGAATATGAACATGGCTCTCCAATTTCTTGTCACTACGCCATCCACACATCCAAATCTCATAAAACCTATGAGGAAGAATTTTTGTATAATTAAAAAAATAAATTTTTTGTTCTTCCTGATTTTGGCAATGAACCCAAATCTTGTAAATCAGTCAAGACTGACCACTGTTGTATCGGTCATTGTAAACTCCACGATCCTTTCATTAGCTGCATAGGGCTATAGTTTTGAATTCAGACTTGTCCTCATAGACTGGTTGCCACCCAAAGCTGAAGAGTTCAGTGTGCCCTACTATTTAATCCATAGCTAGGGTGATTCAAGGCTTCATACCTTTCTCAAGAGTATTTGCACAGAAGCGAATGTAATGGAACTCGATCAAAATGCAAACTCGGCTCTGCAATTTCTTGTTCCAAGTCACCACCCACATCCAAATTTTTTTGCATAATTAAAAGAAAATTTTGATTATTGGTGGTAGTGTGTGTGGGGGGGGGGTAGATAAAGTAGGACCCCACAAAAATAACTCTCCCCCCCACCACCAACCAGATTAATGTTTTTTTTTTTATACCTTTTAATATATAATTATATCATTTAATATTTATGAAACAATGTAAAATGGTGTCTTAATCTCCTTCTAAGTACTTGGGATTTCACAATGTTTGTTATATAATGAAGGGAATGTAGGTACAAATAAACAAATGTATCTTTTTATCATTGTATTTCAATAATAATAATCTATTTTTCTTTTCTCATTCTCAGGTAACCCACAAAACCACCAAAGAAGTTATGGTACTTAAAGAATTAACACGATTTGATGAAGATGCACAAAAAAATTTCATGAAAGAGGTTAGTATTTTAATATCTTTATTAATTTAGAATTTTTAACATCTTCAGCATGTTACCTAATGTCTCATTTCTGTAAATCGCACTTTGTCTTCATATTAATCTCTTCTATAATTTACACATGTTTTTCAAACTCTGTAATCTTTAGTCCATTCTTATCTTATACTTCCTTTATATATAACTTTTTTGCTGCATGTATGAAAAACTTAGGTTACATTATCAGCAAGTGTCTGGATCCTAAACATTTAAGTATGGGCTTTATGGATATTGGTGATATGAAAAAGTATGTCTTGTCTGTTTATTGATGGAAGGATATTAAACTTATTTCTAAATATTTACTTCATAATAGAATATGTTTGTTTTTTTTTATTAGTGTGGCATTTTTTTTAATTCAAAATTATTGATTGTAACGTAACATTATCAATAATTTGTTAAATCTTTTTAATTTTCAGGTGTCTGTGTTGCGAAACCTAGACCACCCCAACGTGCTAAAATTCATGGGGGTTCTGTACAAGGATAAAAAACTAAACCTTGTCACAGGTGAGTCATTCTGTCAAATAGTTATCCTCATTTTAAAAACTTTGACCAATATTTATTTTCAAAAGTAGCTAAAATAAAACAGACTACAGATAGCATTAACTTGAGAAACCATTTTGGGTGTATTCTCTGAAATAAAACTTTCAGAAATAAAATATTAAAAAAAAAAAAGAAAACAAAAGAACTAAAATGAAAATTCTTATTTTGAAAGCATTTAAAGTAAACAGTTTTTGTTTACACTATTTACATTGTACAAACTGTTGTCCTCATCTTTGTCATATTCACAACATTTCGGCAGTTGTACACTCTGGCCTTCTTCAGATGATTGGAAACGGGTGAACAAAAACTTGGATAGTTGAGTTACTAAAGGGAACTAACTGAGATTGAGATATCTGGAAGTTGCATGGCATGTGGAACTAAAACAATGTACCCCGGTGAACGAAATAAAGGGATCAGTTCAAAATTCCAATCACCTGAAGAAGGCAGGTGTGTATAATGATGAAGACATTGTGAATATGATAACAAAGATGAAGACAACAGCTGAAACAATGTAAATAGTGTAAATAATTATAATACCCCATCTCAGAAATATAGACAGATGCTATTTGAAAAGTAGAGATTTAAAAAAAAAAAAAAAAAATATTTTTGGATTATTTACCCATTAACAATAACAGCCTTTTTTTTTTTTTTTTTTATGACTTTTCAGTTTGAAGAAGGATATGCAAACCATTTGCTTTTATTTTTTTTATCTTTCATATTTAAATGAGACGTATGAGAAATTAAAAATACCTCATCTCAGAAATATAGAGAGATAAAAAGTTTTTGCTAATATATTTTCTGCCACATGATGCACTTGCATATTGTCTGCAATGTTTGTTGCATAAATTTATTACATGGCACTATGCAGAAAAAAAACAATCAAAGCCAGTGTCAATGTTGACCTAAATTACAACTTAACAATTACATTTTCAAATAAATGAATGCAAAAAAAATACAAAAAAACTTCCCATCTTAAAATATATGATGAATATTTTGTCCTCTCAAATTCTCATGATAATTTGTTTTAATATCTAGTTGTTTATAGAATTTATACTTAATACAAACTGCTAAATCCAATGGGAATATCTTTTTTGCGGGAGGGGGGTATTAATCTAAAAAAAAAAGAAAGAAAATGCTAACCATGTAAAGATTTCAATCAAATGTAATTCTTGAGTTTTAGCAGTTTTTGAAATATTCCATTTTCTACTTTACAGAGTATATATCGGGTGGCACTGTCAAAGACCTTTTGCATGATATGAAAATTCCTTTGTCCTGGACATGTCGATCTAAAATGTGCAAAGACATTTCTGCAGGAATGGTCAGTAACTTTGTTTCTTTTTCTTATTTCAAGATAAATTTCAAACAAAACTATTGATTTAATATTGAATCACATAAAAATACATATTCCAGCATCTTTTGTACAAATTTCTTATTTTTCTTTGTATTTGTTTTAGGCTTATTTACATTCTATGGACATTATTCACAGAGATCTCAATTCTCAAAATTGCTTAGTCAAAAAAGTAAGTATCCCTTATATAAATATAGATATTTTTGTTTTTAATGTTTTATTATTTCATGTAAAGATGAATATCTATAACAGTTAAGCTATGACACCTATATCTGAGATATCTGTATATTATAGGTATCTCAGAAATAGATCTCATAGCAAAAACAAAGTAAGGTACAAACATTACTTACATTATTCGGACTATTGTCCTCATCTTTGTCGCCATATTTATCACAACGTTTCGGCCGTTGTACGCTCCAACCTTCTTTCAGGTGGTTGGAATTTCGAACTGAACCCTTTATTTCGCTCACTGGGGTAGACTGTTCTAGTTCCACGTGCCATGTTTGATGGATGTCAGTTATCAGTTAATTCCTGCTAATTTCCCTCTGAAAGTTCTCCACTGCCTTAACCAGGTATTGAACTCACACTCTTTGGGTCCTGTCACTGGATCTAACCAACGCCTTTATCATAAATATAGCGACAAAGATGAGGACAATAGTCCGAATAATGTACATAATACCTCATCTCAGAAATATAGACAGACTAAGGTACAAACATTTACTAATCCATCTGTGGCTCTACAGATAAAACATTGTGCATATGTTACGAGAACACTCAATTGTGACTAGATTGAAAAGTAACATCAGAGTGATACACTTGTTTCATTATTGCATAAATAATCTCTTGAAGGATGTGGTGTCAAACAACTGAATCCATTCTTGCACCTCTGTAAGAATGGTGTCATGTCTGTGGAACCTCCACTTCCTAGATAAATGTTGTTTCGAAGGGTCCAAACAGATAATAATACTGACAGATTAGGGAAGTATTAGAAATTCCCAACCATATTAAATTAAGAGATATTTTATAGTCTGGTCCCCCACCTTATCCATGGTTTCACTTCCTGCACTCAACCCTAACAATAAGCATATTGCATAATAATGGTACAAAAGTAGTGGTATTAGCAATTTGGATATGCTAAAGAGAGAGTATAAATTTTTTTTTTTTTTTTTAAATGAAAAGGAGAAAGCATGCTCTCATTTTATATTTTACATTTTTTATATATATATATCCAGGTAAAATGAGAACAAATGGAGTATAATTTCACTGTACATGACATTTAATTTAAAAGAGGGCTCAATACAGAGTAGAGCTAAATATTATTATTTAAATTTAGCATCATGATGCCAAAACAATTGTAATTGTGTAGTGATTTTTAACGTACTAAAATAATATATATGTGTGTATATAATGTATATTAATAAATACACTTATACTTTTTTAAATAAACAATAAGGTATATCTTGTGCCCGATGCATTGGGTAACCAACGAAACTTAAGTTGCACACCAAACGTAGGTATATGTGTATTTATTAATATATATATTTCATAGATCTGTCTAGTCACATTGAGCTTTATTATGTCTACACCTCTTGGCTAAATTTTGTAATTATTTATTTGCTTACCAAAGTATGCACATGGTCACTAATATCTAGTTATTTCATTTACCTAACTAATATATATATATATATATATATATATATATATATATATATATATATATATATATATATATAATGAAATTATTCCTCACCACTAGCACAACTTGGAGTTTCATGCACAATGCAATCTTCAGATGTTGAGTATAGACTGTTATGTAATTTAAATTTTAAAAAATATATCTGGTTATTGTTCAGTTACATATTATACTGGAATTACAGTTTTATAATTTAAAAAAAATTTATTTGGCATTTGAAATAAATGAACATCACATTGTTTGAGTTGTACTATCAGTGAGGGATATTATGTATATTTATTAATATATACTTAGTGCCTGATGTAATACAACAGAGCTATTATGTGCAATATATATATATATATATATGCATGCATAATGTTTATAGATACAAATATTTAAATAAATACTCTGTTTATAGTAAATAGTATCAAGCCTATAACCTGACATGCTATACCATTTAGCTACAGAGGAAGCATCTAGTTAGCAAGGTCAAATTACTGTTAAATGTAAAATATTGTTTATTAAAAACAGCATTTACTTAAATATTTATACATTATTTTTATAAATACAAACAGAAAATATATTAAAATAATTGTCAGACTTAGTCCATTTCATATATATATATATATATATATATATATACAGTGTTACAGGCATTTGTGGATGTTGTATATAGTTCTTGATACCATTTAGGAGTTGTAGTAAATTATAATTATTATTTCAAATAATTCAGTAAACAAATTATCTACTGCCTTTTCAGGATGGTACAGTGATTGTTGCAGACTTTGGTTTGGCCCGTGTCATCTCTGACCAAACTGACATCCGGCGCCAAGACAGGAGGTCTACTGGGAAGTCATCGTCGCCAAACAAGCGGTTTGAGCGAAAAAAACGATATACTGTAGTTGGAAACCCTTATTGGATGGCTCCAGAAATGATGACTGGTCAAAAATATGATGAGAAAGTTGACATTTTCTCCTTTGGAATCATGATGTGTGAGGTGAGTAATAAAAATGCCATGTTATTTATAGACCTGATTATATCAAACCTATTCTTTCTCATCTTTTTTTTTATAATATTATAATTCTGCTTCTTTTTCTGTTACTTAGTGTTAAAGGTTACTGAATAGAATAATCAAATGAAGGTTGGTAATGAATGATAATACTTAGGACATGAACAACACATATAAGATTCGCCAGCGGCACGTAGAAGAAATAGTCAACTGCTAGGAGTGAGTCAAGTAAATTCCACAATGAATCTCCAACTGCAGGATATCTACCAACTGTCCCACATGGTCAGATGTAGCACAAAGCCGAATATAATATGGGGTATCAAAAATTCCCTGTAGACCCCGTATAAAACAGGGTTGGGTAGCTGTTTCCCAAGACAAGCACTCTACCCTTCAATATAGCATCATCTGGGGATTCTCTCTACCTGGAGGGAGAGTTTGACCAGCACAGCTGGAGACTAATCTCTGGCTGCAGGATATCTACCAACCGCTTTATGTGGTCAGATGTGGCACAAAGCCAAATTTAATGTGGGGTATCTCATCCATAGGCTCGGCTAAAATTCCCCATAGACCCCCATATAAAACAGGGTTAAGTAACTGTTTCCTAAGACGAGACTCTTCCCGTTGACATAGCGTTGCCTGGGGATCCTTTCTGCACAGCTGGAGACGAATCTCCAACTGCAGACCAACATACAGTATTTACTACTGTATTTATGTTAATGGAAACATACCCATTATCATCCGTAGGTATGCTCCAACACCTAGTTAGCACATGTGTTACACTATGCCATTGCCTTGGGTAAATAACAGACTTTTGTATGATTGTAAGAAAAGACAGAAAAAAAAAATCTCAGAAAAACTCTGGTTTTAATGTGAAAGAAAAAGCATACGTAATAAAAGATAGGTGGCAATAACACATTTAATGCCTGCTTAGCAAAAGGGAAAGCCTCGTCAATTTCAAATCTTTTCATTTGTACTGTCTTACTACTTTAAATAATGATCTGCACTCCTATTTACTAAAAAATATTTGAAAATTTCATGGTTTTCCTATTCGAATTTTCTGATGAATCTTAATTCTTTGGTTAATGATTGGCAAGTTATACGACAAAAAAATTCTATCACATCGTTAAATGTTTGAAAAAATTCTGCTATCACATCGTTAAATGTTTGAGTTTAACAACTTTAGGCCACAAAAATCTCCTGAGCCAACCAAGTATAGAAATTAATACAATATGGGAACCAGTAATAAGGAGTGCCAGAGAAAAGCAATAATAACAAAAAAAAAAAAAAATTGCAATATTAGCTCTGGTAAAAAAATAAAAACATGCAATGATAACAGCAAAAATTGCAATATGAGCACTGGTAAAATATGGTTGCTGAAGACTTTAGATTTATAATACTCAAAAATTCATACACAAATGTCCTCAAGTGGCACAGTGGATAGGACCTAAAGAGTGTGAGTTCAATACCTGGTTAAGGTGGTGGAGAACTTAGCAAGGGGAATTAACAGGAGATGGCACATGGAACTAGAAAGCGAGCAAAATAAAGTGTTCAGTTCAACATTCCAACCACCTGAAGAAGGCCAGAGTGTACAACTGCCGAAATGTTGATAAATATGGCAACAAAGATGAGGATGATAGTCCGAACAATGTAAATAGTGTAAACTTTAACAAAATATTACAATAACAATCATAAATGTGAATGCTAGTCTTTATTTAAAGAAATGGGTACAAATGAAAATATTTGAAATCAACAACTTTTCTATTTCATTGCAACAGACATTAAACACTTCTGTCTTCCCTTCTTTCATTTTATGACTGACTGCAATAATAATGTCTCAACTTCACGTTCATATTCAAGGAAACATGTTTGAAAGAAAGATTGTTCTCAAATTATATATATAACTGAAGACATTACAAAATCTGTCATATTGACCAGCTGAGAAATGAAAAACAACATTGATATGTTAGCAAATATTCCTGTTGCTATGTCCCATGATCCACACTATTGCACAATATGTGGACTTGTAGGCAGGTCACTAGCAGGACACAAGTGTCACATATGGCACAAACGTAAAAATTGAATGAGGTTGTTGGACCCTCATACGTTGAAATTGATGGGAGAGTCCATCAGGATCATGGCAAAGGGTGACTTGGTAACCAGGACATGCAGTCCATTAATTGCCAAGGTGGAGAAGGAAAAGGACCCCCGCCTCACAAAAAAAGTTGTCACTGTTTTTTGTTTTGTTTTTTTAAAAAAAAACAAGTACTTTTGGTTTAATCTTGTTCACGATTCATCAAATTAAGTTTCTGTTTTAACGAGACAGATATGCAAATTTTTAAATGTTTAAATAACTTTCTTATGGCATTGATTGATGAGTGGAAAAGTGATAATTCAGAATTTTGATGTAAAGTAAATTAATATTGTTTTAATTATGCAAATGTTCTCTTAAGATAAAGTTCCTTTCTTTAAAATAACACCAACATTAATAGATGAAATTTGAATTTAAATACTTTTAATTTAATTTTAAAATTAGGTATTGCAGTGAATTTTTTAAAAATGTCCTTTTATCATGTAGAAGGCCTCTAATATCTTAAGGTTCTTTTTACTGTATGTATGTGTGTGTGTGTATTGTTATCAACTAATATTATGTACATGGCTATGTTTTTCCAAGAATGGAACTAAAATCAGAAAGCTTAGATCCTGTAAGAGCATATATCCAAATGTGGGACAGTCTTTGTCTTTATTTTCTCCCAAAACTAAAGCCACTATACAAAGATTTTAGAATAACTCATGATTAAACATAAGACATTTGTTGTCTGTTATATTTAACAATATATGTTTGTTTGAATATTGATCTGCTGCTCCAATATATATATATATATATATATATCTCCTTGCACTCTGCAGAGAATATAGTCAGTTTATACTAGGCTGGTAACTAGGAGAATGACAACTTCGTACTCAAAACTGGAAGCACTGATGATGCTTTAGTTTCAGTAACAAATAAGTGTGGTCGAAGCCTTCTATTCAACAAAAGGTCTGCAGTAATAAAATAAAACTAAACACTTTTCCGAATTTCATTTTACTAATTCAGTCACTTGAGTCTGAAGCTTTCAACAAAAGAATAGTCTTGTAACTTCATTTTGTCTTCTTTGATTTCAGATCATTGGCCGTGTAATTGCTGACCCTGATTATCTGCCTCGAACCTTTGATTTTGGTATGAATGCAGAGGTATTCTCCAACAAATATTGCTATGATTGTCCTAATTCACTCTTCAAGTTGTGTATTTTATGTTGTCAACTGACCCCAGAAAACAGGTTAGTGTTTTTTTGTTTTTTTCTTTTTAAATCACCAAGCAAGGGAGTAAAGGCCACTAAGACACAAGGGGTTACTGGATGTGGAACTATTAAAAAAAAAAAAAAAAAAACACACACATTACTGAACAATCTTCAACATAATCAATAATTACAATAGCAATACCTTTTTATCAGTGATAACCAAAGATTTATTACAGTAAAGAGATTTTACAACACTGGGGGATAAGCTGAAGAAGTCTGGTTGTATATTAACCACTGGTAGATCATTTCACTCTCAATACATCTGTGGTTCAGTGAAACATGAAAGTTTCAATGGTGACAAGTTTGCAGAGGGGGTGAGGTATTGCTTTACATGAGATACGAGTAAAAATTTTTTGAAATTAGTAAAAATTTAATACAAAAAAAAATAGTTAAAAGAAAAAAAAAACTCGGCTTTCAAATGACTATCATGAATTAAATTGAGATTTGGTTGATATAAAAATCCATTTTTCTGACACTGTTTAATCAGGGGTGGTGGGGAACATTTCAAAATAAATATATAAGACTTTGGAAAGCTTGCCATTCTGCTGGATTCTAATCCAAAATTAAATTTGTTGGTTACTATCTAAGTGAATGACTACATAAAAAAAAAAAAATTCTTGGTCTTATCTCCACATTTTTTTGTTCTTTCTTACCTTGAAGCTAGAAGTCTGACCAATATTCCTATTCTGTGAATTTTATTTTTGCCATATATATATATATATATATATACACACACACAATTTTTGATACCACAAAACTTGTAAATTAATTTGAACAAACAAAACTGCATTTTTATAATCCTAGGTTGTTTGTCACTTTATGAATTTTATTAATATTCTAATTAGGTTGTTTTTTTTATATACATACATACATACATACATACATTTATATATATATTTTTTTTTTTTTTTTTTAAATACCACTGATTTTATCATTTTAAACATTATTGTAGGTTACTAAAGTGATAAAATATATTTTAAATGTTGATCAATAATTTAAACTGCAAAAAATTTCTCATGAAAAGTATATTTTTTGACAAACCTATACATTCATTACATAGGTTTTATTTACCTGTTTTCATTTTTTTTTTTTTTTTTTTTTTTTCTGCAGGCCTCCATTTGAGAAAATTCACATGATGTGTGAAGCCTTGTTACTTCATTTAGAACACAAAATGGCCCTTCCTCCTGAGCTTCAGGGTGATGCTCTTACCTTTTATCGTACCACACGAGAGAACTGTTATGGCTCACGAAAGACAAAGGAAAGCAGCAATCCAAAATCTACAAAAAACAATTTGGAAAAAATAGAAGAGACCAATTCCAAAGATGCAAACTCCTCATCATTGTCGTCGTCAGCATCATCCAACTCCTCTTCATCATCTTGTTCTTCTTCATCCTTATTCTCGTCCTCATCTCCTGTAAATGCCCCAACAACAACAGTAACCACAGCAACGACGACAACAGCAACATGAAAAAAAAAAAAAATTTTTTTTTTTTTTTTTACCTCTACAGTTGTGCTTGAATGTTACCACATGAGAAAAAAAAAAAAAATACCCCTACCTTCAACCCATACAATTCCCTTCACTGTCTTTCATAACCTTTATCAAACAAAGCAAATGAAGTAGAAGTTATTGTGTTACAAACTGTTTTCTGGTCAATTTCAATTTGGAAACCCAAGCTGTAACAAAGTAATTTCAAACGTACTGCCTTATGCCATCATGTGAAGAAAAAAAAAATAAAATGTAGCCTTCTCAATATTGTAGAAAAACAAATGTTGGTGTGTTTAACAGAAATTAAGTTTAAAAAGAAGATTAACACATGCTCGTATGCAAAATCATAAAACTGTTTCTAGTTAAAAGTGGGGCTAATATGCTGAGCCACACTTAACATAAGCAACGGGTGCAAACCAAAAAAAAAAAAAAAAAATATATATATATACTGCCAACAAAAAACAAAACAAATCTAAATTGGAACTAACAGAAATTTGTTATCAAGTGTTTGTCTTAATCTTCAACATATAAAATAGAGCTTGTGTCAAAATTTAACATTACTAAATAGGTAACAATTTTTTTTTTTTAATACCTGATTTCATGCCTGGATTATTGTTTTCTACAATGTTGAAAAATCAGGGGTAGGATCAATTAAAATGATGCCAAGTCTTTTAGCTTTAAGACTGGTTTACATGCTAATTCTTGGAATAAAAATTAATTTATTGTCTGATACCAGACAAGTAATAATGAATGTTATCAATAAGAATTAAAAAAAATTAATAATTTACCATGTGGTAACATTCAAACATTATGTTTATTAAGACATGTAATTATTATATTATTTTTTTTTTCTTTTCATATTTGACCAGTTGTCCCTCTTGTTTTTTTTTTTTTTTTTTCCCCCCCTCTTCCCATGACTGGTCTATTGTTAAAACATTAATATTTTTCGACCAATCAGAATGCATCACATTCCAAAATAGTAAAAAGCTAAAATAAAAACTCAAAATCGATGACAACATTCAATTTCTGGCATACCCCTAACCTTGTTCCACCTGCCACCATCATTACCCTCTTGACTCATAAATCATTTAACTGTCTACACTTAACCTCCAGATAAAAATTTTAGGGACCATTTGACAGTGTACACACAAACTCGGGCCAAGATCTTCAATCAAAATGAACAAACCAACCCTTGATCAGGACGATAAGGTTAAAATATATAATTAAAACTCTTTTTCTTTAAGAAAAAGACAAATATCTTTTGAAACGTTTTTTTTTTTGTATCCATTTTTGTCTTTTTTTTTTTTTTTTTTTTTTAAATTCTATTTTATTTAAGTGACTTATAGGAGCAAATGTTTTAAAAACCACTCAAATTTTAAATAGGATCACAATCTGTTCTCCCTCCAATATTTACCCTCACCTAAAAAAGAAAACAGGGGTACCATCAGTTTTATCCTGTCCCACTTTTCTTTTTTAAACACTTTACATTTCTTTGAGTGTGCAACTTAAACTCACTCCTAACACCCATGACTTGATGTAAGATAGTCAAATCAATAAAAATTGGTCAATTTCAGGCCACTACCAAACATGACACAATATTAAGCATGTGCCTCCTTTAAAATATTTCAATTCCAGGAAATACACTGTACCCAAAATACCCAGACTATCACATCTTTCTTTCAGCTATCTAGTGAGGATTTAAAAAAAAAAAAAAAAATTCTTAAAATGCTAATTAAACTCAAATTCAAAAATGTCTGAATTTTGAAGGTGTTAACAAGAAGGAACGGTTCATCTGAATTATTGAATGTCTCAGTTCCAGCTAATGAGAAAAAAAATTTGAAAAAAACTTGTTAACACAATGTAACAAAAAAAAAAAAAAAAAAAAAAACACAAACCCACCTATTAACAAGTTTTTTAGCAGTGTAATTTATTTTAAGTGCTTGCAATAACTCTGGAAGAGAATTTAGCTGATAAGGAGTGTAAAGGGATTTAGGGTTACAGTTTTTTTTTTGGTTTTTTTTTTTTTTGTAGAACTCTTAGGTGAAGAATAATGAGAGGGGACTAAAAATGGTCTTTAGTAAAATAAATAGTAAAATAAATTAAACTTTGCCAAAAGTTGAGACTGGTAATGTGAATTTAAAATGCCCGTTCTTCTATTGTTTCTGGGAATAAAAGCTCAATTTTAAACAAAGCTCTGTTTGAAATCAGGCACTATAATTTTAAAGTCAAACTTTTTTTTTTTCTTAAATTTAATATCTTTGTTAGTGTTGTCATATTTTAAATCAAATGGCTCTCTGATTATCCTAAATTATCTTTCTCAATAATTATTGAAAAATCTTTACCTGCATTAAAGTACTGAATGGATGTGAGATTCTTTTCCTTACACATTAATTTGTCTCAGATGTGTCATGAATAAATGTATGATTGCAGGTATTTTTTTTCTCCCCAACCTTTACACACACACACAAAAAAAAAAAAAAATTGTTATTGATATTTTATAAAAAAATAATAAACCTGTGATTATAACACCAATATAATAATATAGTGTAGAAAAAGTCATATTAATGAAGAGGATCCCATCAAAGTTGTCATTGCAAAGTCATTTTATTCCTTTCATAAAAGATCTGCAAGTAAAAACAACAACAATTAGATTAACTTTATACATGTCAGACTGTGGTTACTAAACATATAACACAAAGTTAACTGCCTTATTTGCCAAATGAAAATAAGCTTGTTACTAGCTTGGTGAAAGCCCATTGAACCAGACCTTAGTAAAGAACTTATGTGGTAACAAGGTAATTGAAAACAAAGTTTGATTTAGTAAATACTAAGTGGACAATTCTGGATGTAACAACATGTAAAAGACTTGCTGTTTAAATTAACGCAATCCACATAGAACACTTGTGTAATAAAATTGTAGAGGCTTAAAATTAAGAACAAATATTTAAAAGGTTTTCAAACTGTATTGGAGAAGGTCATGAATTTTAAGCCTTTTGAAACAAACACTGGTTTAATTTTAAAGTATTGATATTTGTATGTCGGGCCATTTTTAATGCTTTTTTTTTTTTTTTTTATCTTCAAGCAACAGGGAGGTTTACATTCTGTCCCACCATTTTGTGTAGTACACAGATGGAAATCTTACAAAGTGAAAGAAAAAAAAAAAACAGTAAAAACAAATCTCTTAATGCATGTCAGATGCACATCATCATATGGTGTTTTGGAGGAGCCAACTAAATGTAGACACTTGGTTAAAATATAGATATTTGTTATGAGAGTTTTGCTTAGTGGTCTTCATAAGATTAGATGCCATTAAATATGGTAAATATTTACGCTAGCTGTGATATGAGTTATAAAACAGATTCACTTTAATGTGTTAATTTTATTTAATTCATGACATGCTTTATCAAAGTATAAAAATGCTTTAGATATATGTGTGCCAGTTACGTGCTGTACGTCATACATGCTTGGACGTTCAAGTCTTGATTCATGACTGACTAGGTAGATTTTCTCACAGTAGGTTGCCATTTCTATAATAGACTGGTTGCCAACTTTAGGCTGTAGGACCCCGTCTATCCTGCTATTTAACCCATAGCTGAGGGAAGCAGAAATGGATTCATACTTTTCCTAAGTGTATTTGCACATGTGATTGTAATATAAAAACTGTTATTTAATTCATTTATAATTGACAGTACTTTTGCAGTTGCATTGTACTTACAAAATATCAAATTTGATGATGACTGTCAAAACTGAATTGTCTACATATGGATTAGTAATTCTTTTAACACAAAAAAAAAAAATAGTAGCAACCTAATCCTGTCATTATGGTCACTTCAAGTGGAGGATCCTGTTGCCATAAACAATAGAACATTTTGTGACATGAATGTGACTAATATATAAAAAATTAGCAATCTCACCTTTAAACCTGCAAAAAAAAAAAAAAAAAAAATCATTTTTTAAAAGATCTAAAATTTTAATAAAAGCTAAGCATAATGAAAGTGATTTTATACTTTTTTTTTTTTTTTTTACTTGAGAATTTACAACAAAAATATTAATGACTATTACACTATTCATTTACAAGAATAATTTTATATTTACAACATTCTAAAAACTGCAATATTTCATTTACCAATTTATGAAGAAATATGTAAACAAATTTTTATTCATAAATATTTACTAAATTAAAGTCTATCATTATTTACCATTTTCTATAAAGTTTAATGCAATTTGTCAATGTTTTGTCAACCATTCCAATAAATAGTGTAAATAAACAATCTAATAAAAATTAAAGTTTATTATTTTTGTTGTCAATTCTCAAGGACAAAGAAAATGTATAAATTCACTTTCGATGTTTAGATTTTATTAAGTGAATTTGTCCATTTTTTTTTTTTGTCCTTGAACTGACAACAAAAATAATAAACACTTTTTATTAGATTGTTTATTTTTTGTTCATTTATTGGAATGGTTGGTAAAATATTGGCTAATTACCAAAGGATTTGAACTTTACTAAAAGTATATCATTATTTACCATTTTTTTTATAAATATTTATGAATAAAAAATTGTTTACATATTTCTTTATAAATTGGTAAATGAAATATTCAAGTTTTTAGAATGTTGTAAATTCACTTTCGTAATGTTTAGGTTTTATTACAACTTTAATCATTGCTTTTTAAAAACAAACCTTGTCAAACAGTGAAGGTAGATAAAATGATAACGGTATCAAGGGAAAAAACCATCCTTTTGACACCCATTCATTGTGGGCACAAAGGTTAAAGATTGCAAAAGAATTATTGATAACAGATACAAAAGATTTCCATAGAAAATTTAATGCATTAACAGATGTAATTAAGATGAATGAAAACGTATAATTAATACTTAGCTCTGTTCTTTGGACACATGAAACAACAAAACGGATTAGGCATTATATTGACATTTAATTATTTTTAAACTCTCTATAAGAATGCATACAAGCTGTTTATTTCAGCTATATTTTGATGTCTTATAATTACTTATATTTGTATCTTTAGATTTAGAAAGTAGATGACAAATACACTTAATATATTAACATTTATATAATAAGCCTCTCAGTTGCAGTATCCTTATTGTTAATTTCATCTAAAGTTGTTTTCTGTTGCCA